ATATAATTATATTATAAAAATTAATAAGCTATATTTTATTACTTTCATCGACTATAAATTAGAATTAATGAATTTGTCAATATGTGCAACTTTATTTAATGCAATTATTGTACATTCAGCTATTCTCTATCATTGCCTCGTTATCATACTTTTTATTCGAAATATTAATTAATTAATATTACAGTACGTAAATATGTTTGAATATTCGTTATTTAACAAAATATTTAATCTTATATCTGTATGTACAATTCAGTGAACTTACCATATCTGTGTATGCCTTTGAATATTATGCTTGCAATGTTATTAATAATTATTAAACTTACAGGATAGGACACAATTCCCCGAGCTCTGGTACAGAAACAGAATTCAAATCGAAGAGAAGATCTCAGATCAGTACCTCGAGCAGTTCGGTACCTGCTGATGGAAGTACACATGGCTCAACACCAACCCCACCACCTCTTCCTGAAAGAACGGATAGTCTCAATAACCGCAGTGAAGAAGCTGAATTACGCAAAGCTCCCTGGTTCCAAGCTGGAATACCAAGGTTTATAATTATACTTCACCTAAATCTTTTCTCAGTTTCTCACACGGTTCATTCCTACAAATTTCTAGTCAGTAATTACAAATCAGAAATTTTCATCAATCAACTACTTCAAATATGATATTTGACATTTACTCAATTAGTCTGAGGTTACAGAGTTTGTTATGCATTTATATATTCAATATTATTTAATTCAATGCCAATATTATGAAACAAAGAGTACTTTATTTAATTTAAAATAAATTACAATGTCAGTTATAAATAATATACAAATATATACACTTAATATTTATAATGTATAGCATATGCTTCATATGTAGAATAATACATACAAAAGATTATAATATTGATATATTAATACGTATATTAAAATTTGTATTAATACTATTTGTTAATAATGATTTTATTAATAATTATAGTATTAAATACATAGCAAAATTTTTCTTTTTAAACATTTTTTAAAGAAAGAATTTTCTTAAAACAATTGATATATGTGCCCGATATATTGTATGAAAATGACATAAATTATATATTTTTCCATTCTTAATTATTAAAGTTTCGCATTTCAAATGTATGACAAATGGGAATATACATTATGACAAAAATGCAAACATAATCCTACAGTTTAATTTTCTGCTATTTTGCAAGAATAATTTTTTATATTATTATAATGTAAATAAATGAAGTGATAAAATCATTTTCTTTAGATTTTTCATTTACATCACTTTCATAATTACTGGCACATATGTGATCCTATAAAAGCAAAATTTGAAATACATATTATTTATATTAATAATATCAGTAACCAATAGTTCATCAACTTCTTGTACAAACTTATGCATTGTATTTCCTGTTCCACATATATATTACAAATTCCAATACTATACAATATAACTGAAAAAATTGAATATGAGAATGAATTTCATTAATTAAAATAAAAATTGTTCACGATATTAGTTATTATATACAAAAATTATTACATATATTACAAATTCCAATACTATACAATATAAGTGAAAAAAATTGAATATGAGAATGAATTTCATTAATTAAAATAAAAATTGTTCACAATGTTAATTATTATATACAAAAATTATTACATATATTACAAATTCCAATACTATACATTATAATTGAAAAAATTGAATATGAGAATAAAACTCGTTAATTAAAATAAAAATTGTTCACGATGTTAATTATTATAAACAAAAATTATTAGATATATTACAAATTCCAATACTATACAATATAATTGAAAAAATTGAATATGAGAATGAATTTCATTAATTAAAATAAAAATTGTTCACGATGTTAATTATTATATACAAAAATTATTACATATATTACAAATTTCAGTGCTATATAATATAACTAAAAAAATTGAATATGAACATAAATTTCATTAACTAAAATAAAAATTGTTCACGATGTTAATTATTATGTATAAAAGTTATTGCACAGTCTTGTTTTACTAAGGTATAACGGCACATTTGTCTATATTAATAATAATTAATAATACGGAATAATTACGTTGGTATCTAGTTACACGTATCTCAGAAGTTGAGTAAACCTATTATTATCATGCAAGCAGAAAATGGCTGCTCTTTATATTTATAACGATGTACGTAGTAGTACCATAAAATAATAATCAGTGTCTCGTTGCAGTTATTTATACTACTTATTTATACGAATTTTCACGGTATCGTGGTCATTTATGATTCCAGGGAAATAACGCTAGAAGTGTTGAGCCAAGAGCCGGAAGGAGCCTTCATGGTACGAGAAAGCACCAGTAAACCCGGATGTTATGCCCTTTCGCTTCGAGTGCCGCGCGAATTCCAACCAAGCGGAATAGCCCATTATCTCATAATGCGTACGAACAAAGGCTACAAAATCAAGGTAAATCTCTCCTCGAATCTTCGCAGGCCGGTCTTTCTTGTGAAAGTCTTTAACCATCTACGAAACGTCTGCTCCTAAATAGAGTAATTAACACTTTCACCGTGACAGCTTAAATTCATTTTCTCCAATTAGGATTCGTTTTGCTATGCACAGGACAGACCCAATTCTGTAACTGATGGTCTTGGGAAATAAAGATAATTTATTTCAAGTAATTTCTTCTTAATCTGATCGAAACAAGGTATAGTAGATTAATTTGTATAATAATTTTTGTAAATTATTATATTTGTATGATAATTTATTTCAAGTAATTTCTTCTTAATCTGATCGAAACAAGGTTTAATAGATTAATTTTTATAATAATTTTTGTAAATTATTATATTTGTATGATAATTTATTTCAAGTAATTTCTTCTTAATCTGATCGAAACAAGGTTTAGTAGATTAATTTTTATAATAATTTTTGTAAAATAAATAATAGGGCATAGGTATTGATATACATATCATTGTGGGCAGAATGGACAATAATAATCTAAAATACATTTTTAAAGAGTAACACACGAAGTATATTTAAGTTAAAATATTTAAATAATAAACTATTTGAAATGGTAAATCGGCGCACTCTTTTTAGAAGTTTCTTCTCTCTCACTCGCTCTTAATAACGATTACATCTACGTATTCACTCTTTGATACTTTTGAGACTGTTTCATTCTGCCATATTCATTCATTCGTATTTTCAAACATCATTCACACTAGATGGCACTTGGGCACGTTATATTTATATCATATATTGCACAATTATTGACAAATAAATTTCGTTCAATCTCACTCACACTCACACACAGTAATATATATTTTAAATAGAATAAAGAAAATAAATAAATAAAATCAATAATATTTTGGGTAGTTGTTCCAAGGAAATGTTATATTATCATTTATTAGTGTTAGCATATTTGTAAATATTTGTAAAAATATAATATTATGAATATTCAGAAATATTTTTAAAAGTATAATTATTTATATGGCGATTACTTCTTATTCATTTTCATACAATATAGTTGATTTTATTGTGTATGTTTGAATATTTTTAAAGTTTAATTTTTAATTATCTAACGCTATCTTAAAATAGGTTCTTACGTAAAAGGCAGATTTCTCTGGTGTTATTAATAAATTTTGCGTTACACGTCAACAGATGGGCAACATGTGATGCCACTTTAAATAAAATGCCTGTCCAAATGTCTTGCCAAACATGTTTCTACAAACACACTTGTCCTCGTTTTTTCCCAAGAGTGGGGACCTTCTCTTATGAATATTTTCAATGAGTCATATATAATTACTTTGTTGTGTTTCTCCTAAAATCGTACAAATAATGAATTTTTAATTTCTATTTACTTTATTAAATTTCGTAAAAACCACGTATAAAAAAAGGTTCCTTCTTTAAAATTTTCAGAAGTTAGGTTCTTTCCTATATATTTATATTATTATGTCAAATATCATAAATTACATCTCATTGCATCCTATTTATTTTTAACAACTTGTTCAAATGTATTTTTTAAATCTGACATAAAATATTTAATATGTCCATACTTTTTGTTTCCTAATTTTAATTATATAAATCTAATTTTAGAAACAATAAATCTTGCATATTTTTGTTAGAAATAATAATTTATAAATTTCTGATATCAGATCAAAATTGATAATTATATTATTTACATTAATTATATAAACCTAATTTGGAAAACAATAAATCTTGCATATTTTTGTTACAAATAATAATTTATTAATTTCTGATATCATCGATATTGATAATTATATTATTCATATTATCGTAATAATGTACTATAACATAACGTCCATTTCGACAACGTGAGTTAAATTCAGCTTATATGATGTAATCAAAAAGTTATAAAAATAATAGAAATTAATTCAATAGGGTACGTGTTAAATATCAAATATTTGGTTACATATACTCATATTACACTTTCAATTACATTAAATTTTATTTTTCTAAAAAAAGTCCAAAATGTTTACAAAGTTATTTAAAAATCACATCTAAAAAATTGTCGAATATATTTGCAAATTACAATGAAACTTTATTTTAATTTTTATTGCATTTCATATATATGCATAAACAAACATTCAAAAACAAATACTGGTACATGCTGGTAAGAATATCAATTTTATTGTCAGTTTATTGAAATTAATTGAAAACGTTTGCCAATTTGCCATAACCTCGCAATATAGAGATAAAAAATATGAAGTCATCGAGGTTCGCAGGAAATACACTAAATACAAAAAAAGGAAAAAGAAAATAATCAAAAATATTGATGTAATAAAATTTCTTTTAAATGGTTATCGAGATTTTCAACAGAAAAAAAATAATAAATTTATATAACATTTTTAAAATACTCAAAATAATAAAATATGAGAGAAAATTTTGTTTATTATGGAAAGAAAAGATCATAAAAATTCCCACTTTTAAATGATTAATTACCATAAGAATTATTTATATTACGACAAAAATAAATGTCATTGGATTTTTAACAAGAAACTTGGAGGAATGTATTATACCATTTTCGCGCTATTTTCGATGTTCAAATTATGACTCGCGTAGTAAATTATATATTCAATCTTAATCGATATAAATAGATATATAATATAGAATTTTAATATAGATGACCTCTCAAAATAAAATGACTCTTTTTATATATACTATGAATAAAAATGAACAGACACTGTTAAAGAAGAGTTCGCAACCGAGTCGCTTTGTACACAGATGTTAATCATTACAAAGTAATATCACGTTTGGTCCAAAGCTTTCAGATCTGAAACATTATAATAGAGACATTGTGCAAGTACAAAGCTACCCTGGTTGCGTATTTTGCCATTTGGGTATGCGTATTTAAATGTCCGGACTTCCCTTGTAGGATAAATTAAATGGGTCCGTGGACTTTGATAATCTCCGAAACGAGTATAAATGAGTTTTGTTGGATGTACCGTAGGGAAATCAAAACTCGCCCCCCACTCTTTACTCTGGAATTGCATTGCCGTAGCAACACGCGATGAGATTCGAACATGTACGACGGATGATAATTTTGACGTACTACGTCTATCATCGATTTACTTCGTGGATAAATACTATGTTACACAAAGTTAAGATACATAGCACAATAATAGAAAATAGACATATTTCCGATAACTGTCTTTATACAACATTAAATCACGATGTTGTTTACAGGTAAACAGTATCCGTCAAATCTGTAAATATAGGTTAGAAATTTATAGATCGAAACTTTTCATAATTTGCTAATAGTATTATAATTTACTCGGAGTTTGATGTTTAACCAGTGGGTATAATATATCGTTTAATTACGATTAGAATTATTTTAAAACTATAGAAATGTTATAAATATAAAATACGAATTCAATCCAGTGTTTAGGTTGGATAATTATTATTCTATGATTTCATTTGTTCCAGGGCTTTACAAAGGAATTCACAACATTGACTGCTCTAATTACTCACCACTCGGTGATGCCAGAATTACTGCCATGCCCGTTGTCATTAAGTCGATACAATCCAAGCTTTGTGAAAAGCGATTCCAACAAAGACTTCGCGGACATCGATTCGGACCCCGATTACAATACCTTAGCCGACTTCCGTAAAATGATGGCTGACCTGAACGTCTAGAATAAAGCTTGCAATCAGGACGATCTGGAAAAATCGATACTTTCACCGATGCTCTTCAAACCGAACAGCTAAAGCGAATTCGGTTCCAAGCGACTACGAGAAATTGAAATGCGCTTCGCAATAGAATTGTATACGAGATCACGTAATGCGAGTATAGACACGAAAAATTCATGAAATGATCAAAGCGTGTTTGCACCGTGAATTCTATACAATTCTCGATTAATCGTGTTCGTTAAAGAAATTAAGTAAAGAAATAAAGAAATTTCTCGGCGACACGATTGATCGTTTAATACCACGATTTATCGCATACTCGAGAATGAAAAGAAGTATCGTACATTCGAATAACTCTGTACGTTCTCGCGGTGATATGTATTCATAAGTCATCGATAGTAATAGGAAACATAGTATAAGTAATTTAATGATCGCCACTATTCATGAAAATAACAGCGAATCAAAAGTCGGAGGACGCACAGCAGGGAAATTGATTCCTTATCTTATAGATTGACTCGCAGGGTTTGCGTTAAATAAACGAAAAACCGTTGATATGAATTTCACCGAATTAAATTGTTGACAATTTACAAGCGTCACTCTATTTATGTGTTAATATAACTCGACGCCAATTCTGCGATTGAAAATTTTGAAAAACGACTAGTTTACAGCATTTTCAATGAACTAGTTTATTGTAGTATTTGGATCGAATAAAAGTTATCACAAAAATGAGATAAGTATATTTTTTAATGTTACTGCGAATGTCTTTTGAATGGTTTTCGTTCCGGACGAATGTGTGAAATTTTATGGTGTTGAATTTAGTTTAGAAATCAAAGGTTATTTGGTAAAGTTGCAAAAAAATAATAAAATTTAACAATAAAACATTATCGGAAGAATTTATATTTAGTCGATGTATCAATCTTCAATAAGTTAAATAACGTCGGCAATGCAATAAGATTTTTACTTAATTTTTGATGGATTAGAAAAAAAGTTTGAAGATTCTTGAAATTTTACCATTAAAATTTCACGCGGCTAAATAGTGTTTTACAAAATTAATGTAAATGTGTTTATATGTATATAAATTATAATTATTGTTATACAATACTACTTATATTTAATTAAATGACATTGACGGCAGCGTTAGAAGGGACTATACCCTTGAAAAAGTGACAACAGAAAGCGTAGAATACCATGGAATTTTAAAGCCGACGGAAGAAGTATACTTTACACTGATAATTTAATTGCTCGACTAACCTAGTCTTGTACAGAATTTATGCGCGCATAGTGACTATTAAAAGAAAAGAAAGAAAAGAATGAAAAGCTATATAATCTTATGTGTGTTTTAGCCAACATAGACGAGCAAAATCGAAAACTATGTGCCGCTTTTTATATGCCCAAGAACATAAAATTTAAAGGAAATACTCTGATAAAACTCCTACTTTTCAATGTTTTCAATATGTGAGATGACAAGGAAATCAAGATCTAGATAACTACCACAGAATCCATCGAACAATATACATAAATACGTTAGACCAGATTATACAAACGGCAGACCATCGTTGATTCATCCTACAAAGCAACGCAAATGAGACACATGATAAGAGATAAATAATAAAATAGTATTTTAATAAGGAGTTTACTCGCGTTCAAATATCTGGTATTAAATTAAATACAATACCCTCCCTGCCATGCTAGCATTTACGTATAAAATCGATAAATGTGTCTTGTATTCATTTATTTAAAACGTATCAACCGAAAATGTAACATCTATAATGCGGACTTGAAAATATAAGATAAGCAAAAGTACGAAGACTAAATCACTTATTGTTACCTTCGACAAAAACTTGAGATAAGACTTCAGCATGATTTTTAGCTAGTTTACAGACATTCATTGTACTTTACCATTGAGAAGAAGGTACATAATGATCTTCGTATTGTCAAATTGATAAACATTTACTAAAATAAATGCGCCAAGAAAATGGAAGGAAATTAATAAATCGTTGTAAGCTACGCTAAGCAAGACATTAATCACTGCTTGAAGTTTGTAACGTTTTACGATTATAGCAATGCGTTGTATAATTTCAATAAAATTATTTATTACAATAAATACTGAATAAAATAATATAATTTAGTCCACAATGTATATCCATAATAACTTCATTCACAGTAAAAAATATTATGTAGGACATTAGATATCATTTCTTTAACTTATATAATTATACATTATTTAAATATTGAATTGCTATCACAAGTTAAATATATTTTATGATAAAATAACAGAAAATTAAGGTATATAATTTTTTATTTTGAGATCTCAAAAATTAATATTGAATTAAAGAAATATAACATGAAGATTGTATAATGATAATATATAATCTATAAATTTTAATATTTATTTTAAAATAACTTTTATGTATCAACATCATAAAATTAATTTGCAGTAAAGACAGTTTCAATTTTCGTAATTTTCATTTCACCTTTCTGAACATAGTACTACTGTATTATTGGAATTTTTCTACTTACAATGAATTCAAACACATTACTATAATTAAAATTAATGAGATTTATATCGTTTAGACTCGTTTTAACCTAATGGATCCCAATATGCATTAATATCACTTCTATAAAGTAACATAAGAATTAGAAACAATTAAACTTTTTTAATTGTAATATCCGGTTGAAGTGTCATATTTCGACAGTACATGTCTATATGTACTTCAATTTCATAGGGTTAAACTCGTTTTATCTTTATTTTAAAACAATGCAAAAATGTGTAATGCTATAATACATAATTCTGCATTATACTTCTTCCCGTACAACATTTCTTTCTCTTTCCGAAATAAAGGGTACTGCTCCTTTTTTAGAATGAATACGCCTATTAGCTTCCCTAAAATGAAATAAAGAAATGTAGTAAAAATTCTTTGAAAAATAATATGCATAATTTAGATCTCACAGATTTTTTTTTTAAGTAATAATACATACTTTCGTTTATTTTTCTCTCGAATTATACGTAATTCAGCCTTTGCATTATAAATATGTTTTGGAACCTGCCTATGTCTGGCAATTCGTTTTACTTCAGGATGTGCAGCAAACTTTTGTTTCAAAGCATCACTGTAATATAATGATGCCTTTTCTCTAGGTCTTAACTATAATTATATATTTCATCAATTTTAATATATAATATAATAAAAATCCAGAAGACAAAGTATAACTAGAACATTTACATACCACACCCAATTTTTCTGACGCCCTTGCTTTCCAAATACGAATATTCATTTCGTCGCTTCCACTAATAATATATTTGTTATCAAGAGACCATCCTATACATGTTAATCTTTGCATACGTTTTGTATGGTAAACTTCTCGAGAACGACCTTTCTGTACTTCAAAAATACGAATTGATTTATCATAACTCCCAGATACAAATTCTTTACCAGTTGGTGAGTAATCAACATCAATCACAGCTTCTACGTGATCCATATGTACATTTACTGGTGTTCCCAATTTGCGAATATCGTAAGTATATAAGCTAAATAAAACAGTATAAGTCACACTGAACTTTTCTACTCGATTTTAAAAAATATAACAAATTTTTTCCTAAACATACTTGTAATCTTCATTAGCACATGTGAAAGTAACAGCTTCCATGGGATTCCATGATAATTTATTAGTCTTTAACCTCATAATTACTTTTCGCAAAGGACCTGCTTCTCTAGTATCATATAAAATTATACTACGATCACTTGCACATGCAGCTACAAAATTTATGTATATTAATAATTAAAATATGATCACTATGAGATGAAATAATCAATAATTCTTACCAAATAAATTGGTCTCAACAGGATTATATTTAATATCATACAAACTATCAACACCCCATTTAAATGTGTTAATTGGTTCATTTCTAGTTTCTTCCCATAAATGACACACATCACCACATGTTGCAAACATTGGTTGAGATCGATGATGAGAAATTCCAGTTATTATTGTCTACAAAATATATATAATTCTCAAATCAATATGCAGTAATACATTCGATATTACATTATATATAGTACAATAATAGTTTCTTTCTTTCTAATGTTTAATATCTTACTTTACTAATAATTGTATTTATAGGTTCTTCTTCTCCATTAAATGATATTTTTTCCGTTTTCCATGTTTTAATAGTTTTATCATCACCAACAGTGATGAAATGGTCACCATTTTCGTTAAATACAATTCCTCGTATTATACCATCATGTGCCAAAAAACCACGAATGCGTGTTCTGTGCGTAACATTCCATAGGCTTACTTCTCCATCAAAAGATCCACTAAGTAACATAGACAATTGAGAAGGATGTTTACATAAACAAGATACACCATCTTTGTGACCCTCTAAACATCCTACAAAAGGTTTTGCAAATACCCTTTCTAATTTTACTGAATTTAAAGCCCTAGTATATTCTCTTGCTGCTTCAAAAGGATGTAATGCTGGATCATAATTTCTAGGAACTATAAATAATACGTAAAATTAGATTTTTAAATAAAATCTTAGCTATGTTTACAACAAAGAATTAATTTAGCATTACTTATTATTTTTAACATTATATATTTTAAGATAATACTAACCTTTGTATATGTCACGTTTTGTTTCTCTTAGGTATTCGTCTGGATTTCTTGTTAAAATTTTTACCTTCATTTCGAAAATTTCTTAATTGAACAAAATTTTATTTAACGCATATCTTTTATTACAATACGTTACACACGCATAAACATGTGCGTGATACATTTTTGTACATCACAATCCTAGAAATAGAAATTAAATCCCTAGAAGTTTTACAAAGCATAAATATACAATTACAATACTTGAATTGAATTAAAAACTTATAATCAATTTTTGTTAGCAATAGTAATAAGAAATTTGGTAAAAAATGAAATGTAATAGTATGTTAAAAGTTTCATATAAGGCAATGAAAGAAAAAAAAAATAGGAGTAATATATTTTGAAAATGGCATTTATAAATAATTATTATGAAATAAAATACACAAAAACATTTAAATATATTATACATTCAAAACTTTTTGAAAGGACAAAAATTTTAAATATCTATTCAAAATAATATATATTTTATTTATAATGTGTATAAAATTATTATATCTCTGATTACATAATATTACATAAATCAATAATAATTTGTGTAAATAATACACATATTAGAAAAATTAGTTTATTTCTTACAGTTTCTATTTTAAAAAATTAAAGTTATGTCAATCGTTCCAAATATAATTTTGTTTATTACCACACTAAACAAGTAATATAAATTTCAATCTTATATTATTTATTCTATATGTAATAATCGAATAATAATCTTTTATTGATATTATTATTATGTTACAATTTTATTTACCTCTATAGTAAGCGAAAGAAAGTCAATCTTTTTTCCGCGAAAGAGCCAACATATTTGTATGTGACGATTCGCACGTATATAACTTTCTTGGACACTAATGAAATTATTCTTTTAAATTTAATATATATGAACGCAAATAGTTATATAAAACATAATTTAAAAATACAGTTGGACAATAAATCATTGGACAAATGCTGATAAAATTATTATTACATAAATGTAATACATTTCAACTGTAAAAGCGCTTGATTGTAACTTAATAACTAAGATTAAGGATATAAAAATTAATATTCATTACTATTTTATTTATATTCTATTATTTCTGCATATTGTTAATTAAAAGAAAAAATTAAAATTTCAGTAGATGTGCATCTTTTTTTTTTCAATTAATCAAGAAGCCTTTTTTATTTTCTTTCATTTAAGAAATTATATTATTTCATAGAAAATATATAACAGAATTTTTAACAGAATTGTTTGTTAATTCGTACTAATAGTTTAGAAGTAAGATTGTTGTGTTGAATATATCACGTACGAGATAGAATGATATGTGAATTATATATGTAGGTTGCATACATGTGAAGTAACGTTTGGGTTAGTGATGTACTATATATACATTGTCATCTCTAGGAAGTAGTAGCTGCAGAGTACAGCAGGCGTGTGGTGGGTTGTTTGTAGAAACATTCAAAGTAAGTAATTAGTGTTTCTAACAGTGATAATTAATACTTTAGAAAATTAAAATCAATCAATAAATTTAAACTAGTTATTATAAGACGATAGAATGATATTACTTAATCATTAATATTTAATTTTACGATATAAGTAAGCAAGGTCAATATGTTATTTTTTAAATATAGTTGATTTGTTATATATGCGATTCATTTACAAATATGTAACCTACAAAAATCGTAGAACAAAACATGTCTACTACTAAATGTATTTTAAATTATAATTAATTTCATAAATTATTAATAACAGTTTCAATATAATATAAAATATACTTTACATTTTATTTTTTGTTTAATTCACTTGAAACGAAATGGATGTATAAATATTGTTTTATTAGTATTTGAGTATCTGTGTACTGTAATTTGAACTACGTTACATTTGAAGAAGTTAAAAATGTGATATGTAATACATATATTTAATATTCAAAACATTATCTATATATTTTTAAGTTTAATAAAAGGTATAAAAATTATGTTATTAATAACTTATGTTTTGTTAAGAATATGTTTTTATATCATTATTTTTTTATTATAAAAATATAAATTTAACTTTAAAATAATAGTTACTACTGATAGTTGGTTTATATTTAATAAATACATTTATGAAATTTCAGATATTTGCAAAATGTTCTGTGCAAGATTGATAAGACAATTTAAGTTTAGAGGAAGGCAATTGCATTCAACTCTTGTAAAAAATGAAAGCAAACCTGTTTCGGAGACAACTAAAAGTGCTGAAACATCTAAAGCTTCAGAATCAAAATCTAGTGACCAGAAATTGAATGAGTTTGCAATTGGTAAAATTTACTTTTAACTATAACATTTTTATTTTGAAGCAAAATATACAAAAATATTATATAAATATCTTAATATTAAAATATATTTTATGTACTTTAGGGTCACCTATGTATGCTCTAAGTAATTTTGATAAAAGAATATTAGTTTGGGTTAAACGTTTTCCTAGTTTAGATCAGGTTCCAGATCAAGTGAGGTAAATAAATTAGAAATATATCTTCATTTTATTTCAGTTACCTTAAAACCATACATATTTATTACTTTATATGTTTGTTATTCAGTATAAGAACCATACAGCTAGCACACACTAAAGCAAGAATTATAGTATGTGGTTACATGATGGTCTTTGCAATAATTGGCTGCATTATAGCAGTATCAATAGGAAAAAGAGATACTGCAGCTGGAGAAAATATAGCAACAGTAAGAATGAGATGGTATAAAGAAGTTGCGGAAAAAGGGCGGAAAGAAGCTGAGGCCAGAAGGGCTAATGAAGCTAACACGGAGTAAAAAACAAAATGAATAAAATAGTATTTTATTCACATTCAGTAGAAATATATATTATTATTAAATAACTATTATTTACACATATAAGATTGCAATATATTTTTTTAAATTTTATTACTTTATAACAATGTGATAATAGCATAAATAATAAGTTCAATTGAAGTATAAAACTGTATGGTTTGAAGTATTGCTGACAAAATTTCACTTCATATTTCAAATGTATTCAAATGTATAAATTATAGAAAATGAGCATTATATATTATGTTAGCAATTTAGAAACTATATTTTTATAACAGATGTAAGTTAGTAGAATTAACATTCAAATATTGCATCAATACTTTAAATAAAAGTATAATAATATATATAGTAATAAATAAATGCCTTCAAATTTTTGTATTGTTTTGAACATACAGAACAATATATTTTAATCTGGAAATACTAATATTTTTAGGACAATTAATTTAAAAAACATTAATGTATTAAATATTTATATTTAACACGTGTTATTAAAAAAAATTCACTTGATCTTAAAATCAATAAATCTCCTTACATCTCGTCCTCCATTTTCATGTAGATTTCATTTTTAAAAGTAGATTTTTTAATTAAATATTGGTTTTGTAACATTAATATTTAACATATTAATAACAATAAATAAAATACAATATGTAGATATCCTATATAGAAGAAGATCAGAAACTTATTAAAAATTAAATAATAAGATGTAATTATATTTTCTATGTATTTCACATTTTTTTATTTATTGTCTTACAAATATAATAGCTAAATACATATAAAACAAATGTATTATTGCATCTGTAATTAAACATATGATCATATAAAAAATACCGGAGCTTAAAGATTTTTGAACATTAATAACACTGTTACTATTATACATTACTCGATGATTTATAGAAATAGCCACATTTTTTGTGAAATACACTAACTGTATGTTTTTTTACAACTTCTTCTATGTTTAATTCTGATTTCAATAAGCGTAGAGCATTTTGTTCTTTTCTTAATTCTTGAACAAGTTCAAAACTATTATTGCCATTATTTCTTTCAGTCACTAATCGATTTATCTTTTCTTTTGATGCATTTAAACATTTTGTAATAGCTAATTCTCTAGCTTTATGACCTGTTTGAATTTGTTCATGTAATTCTTTACATTTTGCATGCGTATCATTGTCTTTTTGAAATGACTCTGTTGGAATTATAACATTTAGCATATAAATGATTTTGTCATCAATTTGTCGCATTCTTTTTAATGCATCCTGAAACAAAAACTAAATTTTATTATCTTAAACTAAAAAATAAAAAAATAATTCTAAAAAAGTATAAAGATAATAAAGAGAAATAATTAATAATTTATATTAATACAATTATGTTAATAATTCTTTATTTTTTTGTTTTTTTTTTGTTTCCGTTTAATACTTGTGTATATGTCTGTATAAAGTTAAATAGTTTAGATGAATAAGTATATTTAATCTTAAAATCAATGTTACAATAGATATATTAAATTCTTTCATTAAGTTTAATTTAGTTTTGATTCCTTTCTACTATTCTTATAGGATCTTTCACTTTTAAAAATTATTTAATGCATGAAATATTACATAAACCATAATATAACCTTAAACTTATAGGTTATTTTAGCTTTACGGAAATTTGGAACTTAAAATATACAGTTTATACAATTAAAATAACTGAAGTATTTAATTCGAAATAAACACATTTTATGATACTATAATTTATTATAAGAAATACCTGAAATTCTAAAAAATCTCCACATCCAATACTCACTGCTGCCATTTCTCTGAAATAAGGAACAAGTAATATAGATTAGAATATATGTAGAAGTAAGTCCATATATCCTACAGTAGAAAGTAACATGATAAAACAATTACACGATATTGTAGTAATGTATAATTTACTTATTACTATAAACAAATGGAATTATTTTTGTATCTTATTCTTGTATTATTTAGCAAATTATTAAGCATTAATAATATATCAATAATAATTTACAAAGATATAATTATTAGAACATAAAAATAATAAATAATTAAAAAATGTTTTTTAAAATATAATTAAGTTTTATATTAAACAGTACTTTTATTTTAATAAACGAATTCCTTAAGTGAAATTTAAATATTCTCGAAAATGAAAAGAAATATATTTTGAGTTCAGTTACTATTAATAAAATATGATGAATAATTAAATGAAACTTGAGTGGAATATACATTCAAATTTACATGTTATATTGATAATGTAGTATAAAATATAAATTTTTTTGTTTTTACTTGTGTTTTCCTATTCATATTTATAATTTAAATTCTAATATAGTACATAATGTTTATGATAACATATAATGAATGAGCTATGTCTTATATATATTACGTTAGTAATTTAATATACATACAGATTTTAATAATTCTATATTTATAGTTTTCATTAGGTTATTTTTGTACTTCAAATACATGGCATATTTTTAATTATTCTGAATATATTTATTGGTTATCGATTTACAATTTTGATTTATAAAAATATATGAACGGATACATTCCAAAATTTTAACAAATAAATTATTTATGATTAATTGAAATGTTTAAAACAATGTAATATTCATAAGAAATGTCTTAAAATCATAGTATATTTACTTCAAGCATAGACAAGATATAAAATAGATGTAACGTTTTGTGTACTTTTCCGGCCCAATTTCTTTATCATTGTCGTATTATTTACAACATTGTGGACAGAGTATCAAAACTGATTATAGTATTGAGTGAGAACTGCAATGTATTAAAATAAAGCATTCTGTTTTTTAAAAAATAATGTAAATCATGAACCCCAAGCTGTATCAAAATTAGTTTTCAGACTAATTTGGAAAATTAAAAGGTAAACTTATCAATGAAATGAAATCTACGATTTCGGTGATTTTTAAATACATTATAGAAATCAATATTTTGTAAAACTTTTTTCTACGTGTATGATGACCGCCATTTTACAGTTTTTGACATATCTAGAAAAAACTGCAATATATGTTTGTGACACAGACGGAAGCAGCTTACAATTAGCATGCGAATATTTTTACGACCAGAGAATAGTGAGTTCGACAGCGAATAGCTAACTATATAGAAGTTGTTCGAGCAGTTAATTTCTACAACGTACCTAGCAATCATCGAAATTAATTAAATAACCAATAAACAATAATTAATTAATTAACTAAATTAAATAGCTTGTTTTCTAAATAATACCAATATCTTTTACCCTGTTCCATTCGTTGTATATAAAATGAACAATATAAATATTTTTTAAGATTATTTTTTTTATATCGTTGAATATTAACAAAGCTATATTTAATAAAAAATATAAAAATTAAGAAATACAGAATAGAAGAGCTTTTAGTGGTCTAAAAAAATTTGATGGTATAAATAAATGTGTTTGTTTACACACATCCTATTATGGAAAACGTTCACAGAATATTGTCACAGAGAGATTTAAGATTAACACACAGAAATATGAACATAACTCTTCTATTCGTCTTAATTAAGCTTCATACTTCTTTGCCTCCAATACCACTACAAAAGATATTTCTTTAAATGACCACCATTTTTGAATACAGGATATACTATACTATAAACAGTCTCATATTTCTAGGTTAATTAATATTTACTAATTATTAACATTATATTTAAATTAATATAATATTAATGTAACAATTTATTTTAATAAAAAGGGGAACAAATAAAATTATTGAAATAAAAATTAGAGAAACTCAAAAGTCAAAGTAAATTCTTTAACAATTTTAAAATATCCAATTTAGTTACTTTGATTTCAGAAACTACTCTTAGGGGAATGCTTTCTTGTACTTGAGCTTCATAAAAATCACGGGAGACATTAAAAATAAAATGAGTGAAGTGAACAATGAAGCGTTCCTAAATTTCTATTGAAGTTGTTCAATAGAATTTCCGATATGCGATGTACAAAGAAGCCCTAGACTAATTGTAAAGTAGAGAACATAACGCAGAAATATATGTTGCACAATTGTTCTTGTAGGTTAGAATATTAACAATTGTGGTCACTAATGCTCGCTACGAAAAGAAATAATATACAACCAGTTAAACGTGCCGTTTCGGATCATTCATCCTACGACACGATGGGTGATCAGAGGAATTGAAAAATATCTGACTCACCGTACGTAGATAACTCCACTAATGGTACGCCTGAAGGTTGACAACTGATTTCGACTTGCCACCAGCGTGACGTGTTGTTTTCGTCCTACAGGGTGGCGATGTTCTTAGTGATTGTGGTTCCTCTCTATTTGTTAATATTTTCTCCACATTCACATACTCGCGAAATCGCGGATACGCGACGTATATACTAAAATCGGCCGATATCGAGTAAAAAGACACGCGAGAAATCGGGCGAACGAACGAGTAAATCGTCAAGATTTAGCACAGATTTGAACAAAAATTGCACACTAGATATGAATAAAAAATTAGTAGAAGTGCAGTATTTTATGACCACAATTAACGTTTATTAACAATTATTAAATATATTACATATAAATTAAGTAATTGAGAAAATTATTATTAAAATAATTAAAAAAAATAATTATTGGAAAATTTATAAAGTAATTTTATAATTAATAAACGTATTAAAAAAATTAATGAGAAATTAATGAAATAATTTTATAATTAATAAATGTATTAAAAATAATAATTAATGAAAACTTAATAAAATAATTTTATAATTAATGAATTAATTTAAAATAATTAACGATAAATCAGTTAGCAACAAAATGATTTAATAACTAACTAATAAATCGTTTATTTAGTTGTTAAGTAAATAGTTTAACGTGTTCAAATTAATTTAAGTTATTTAAATCGGTTTAAACGTAGATGTATACATCACGAAGTCTGAGAAACAAATAACCTGATAATGGGCCTCCGCTGTCCTTATATAGGTTGCAGGTACCCTTGCAGAGGTCAACCGAAAATTTACGAACTTCACCGAAATTTCAAAGATTTTCGTACCTGTATATTGAAGTTATTAAATTATTATGGTATATTTAAGCTTTATGTAATATTCAATAACAATATGTACAATAATTTACATGTATTCCTTTCTATAAAAATGCTATGTACGGCCACATAATATTAGTTTTTAACGTGTAAATGGTTAAAACAACGGTGTTCGATTTTTTAAAGTAAAATCAGGCCAATAGAGATTAAAAATGATATTAACCATGAGACCCTATACACCCCGTACTCATCATCTGTCATGAAATAGGCTAAATTTCGTGTTTCTAACAAATTTTATCTGTTTATGTAGTTTAATTATTTTACAATGTTTCTGTACACATTTTAACTTGAATATATAGGTGTTTTTGAAAAGTAAATCGTTACAAAATAATTTATATATTTCTATACCAGATTTTTTAAAGAATATACTTTATATTTCTTAAGATTATAATAATGAAAGCTAATTTTGAGGTATATCTTTAGTTGTAAGATATTTGTAAAAGTACGTACATTTATTTATTTTGTTAATATACCGAAATGAAATAATATTATACATAAAAATTGCGTAATCAGATATAATACTGCCAAAAAATACCAAAGTGAAGAAAGAATAAAAAGATCAAAAAGAGAATAGTGCCAAAGAGCTAAAAAATGGTATTTAAACTTCGTATTATTGCCTAAAAAGTAAATAAGCATCGTAAAATGATCCACATTTTGATCATCCACATGGTAAAACCACAGAGTGAAATTTATGTTTAAAATTTTATTATATACAATAAATATTATTATATTATTACTAATATTATTATAATAAATAGTATTATATAACTACATATAAAGCTTTTAAAATAATTTGAAAAATATATCATTTTTATAATTTTTCTAGTAATTGTGTTTCGTTCGTTTAAAAACAGGAAAATAAGAAAAAGAAAATGCATTGCATTTATTCATAAATTTTTAAGGTTTTCATCTAATATAATATTTTTTAATGAAAGTAAATTTAATATTTGAGAATCTAACGAGTATTGAAAGATTCAAAGAATATTAAATGAAGATTCAGAGAAAATTAAAAGAGTGTCTACAAAATTCAATGTTAATTAATTTTAATTTTAAATGGTAACACCTTAGAAATTTCTATATAAATTGAAGGGTTTAAGTTATAGAATAATAACACACATTATTATATTTGTATTAATTTTATTTCAAGATATTTGCATCAAATATATTTCAAAAAATATTCTCTTTCAGTGTATTACATTCTGATATCAAATCCAAGACCTTGCAACTCTTTTGCCATTGAAGTTACAGCTTGTGTAGGGAGAGGACACAGAGGTGCACGTGGGGGTCCAAGATTCATGTTCGTCAACAAAGACATTGCCACCTTCATGGTCTCCACCCAGGTTCCTGTGACATAATTATAACATTCAAATATATTTTCTGTAATTTAAATATCCAAATATATTTTCTTTAATGAAGTATAATTCCTACCAAAATGAACAATTTGAAATTTTCAATATCACCATACTTAATATGTCAAAAAATTATTTAAAGCTTAGAAAAAATTCATTAAGTATACTATTATACAATTCTTTACTATATTGTACCTTCTTTTATATTTTTATTTATGTTGATCACATTATATTTAGAAATTTATATTTACTATTCCAGCTAAAATTTAAATATAGGAAGGCTATAAATTTTCATAGTCGTACAGTTTCACGAACACCTTATGTGATCATCACGTTAGATCAAATTACTATCAAGATATGTATTCCTTAGACCAGTGGTGCTCAACCTTTCCATCTTATGTGACACCTAAGCTAATTATTAAAATTCTGCGACATATAAAAAAATATACTAAATTCTTTTCTGATATTTAAAGAGAAAAGGAATAGAATTGGAAAATAAAAATAAAAATAAAAATAATATGAGAAATTAGAAAATAATTTGGATTGAATTAAAAATAAAAATAAAGACCAACTTAATGAGCAACAGCAACAACAATAATGATAGTTAAATAAAATATATGACATAGGATATGTCATGCAAGACATGTACATAAATAGCATAATTGACAAGAAACTCATGTACTGTTATTTAATCACTATTTCAATAAAAAATTATAATAACAACAATAATAATGATAATTATTTACAGCTTTACACTTCTTTTATTTGACAGTTTAAGGGATAAGAGATCAGCACTCTTAATTAAGTAATTAATAGTTATTGCATATTTCAAAAATTCTCATGCTATATTTAAAAAATATTGCGATGCACTAATATGACGCATAACACTTGTTAAAAATCGTTGCTGCAGACCTTGATTCCAAAAATAGGGCTATGACGTGTCAATTGTCATTAAATTGCAGCTTAAAATAGGTACCAGAAGCTTAAAAATGTCACGTATGTACGTTTCCTGCATTTTTCCATTATTCATCTGATACCGGGTTTAATTAAAATACTCGAATTTTCGAAAATGATACGACATGATATAATAGATTATCTCTCAGATAGTGAGATCCATTATAAATTAAAAATTAAAAATTAAATTAGATCCGTTATAAATTGACAGCATATGAATTTTATTTGATATATTATAGACGAGTGAATGTTTTTGATGATACTTTAGAAATATTTCATTAATCTTACCATGTCGTGAAATAGCCATTACAGCACTTGTTAAACGCTGTTGATTGTCTCTGGCTCTCATGACATTTCTCATAACAAGTCCTTCTGTAACTGTCTCGAGAACAAGTTCAGGAAGCATATTTAAGCTTGTTATTATGAAGGAATCCATTCCTAATGCAGTGCCAGCACTCACTAACTGAAATAAATAAAATACAGAACATGATGCATAAGTACATAATTGAAAATGTTGTTGTTTAATTAATTTTTAATAACATCTTCTATACAACTGAAATAAACAAAGTACATAATTAAGATGTTATTGCTTAATTAATTTTTAATAACATCTTCTTTCATTAATTGAAACAAATTAAATATAGAATATGATGTACAAGTACATAATTGAAAATGTTATTACTCAATTAATTTTTAATAACATCTTCTTTACTAACTGAAATAAACAAAGTACATAATATAATTCACAAATACATAATTAAGATGTTATTGCTTAATTAATTTTTAATAACATCTTTTTTCATTAAATGAAATAAATAAAATACAGAAAATGATGCACAAGTAAGTAATTGAAAATGTTATTGCTTAATTAATTTTTAATAACATCTTCTTTACTAACTGAAATAAACAAAGTACATAACATAATCCATAAGTACATAATTAAGATGCTATTGCTTAATTAATTTTTAATAACATCTTTTTTCATTAATTGAAGCAAATTAAATATAGAATATGATGCACAAGTACATAATTGAAGATGTTATTTTTTAATTAACTTTTAATAACACCTTCTATATAACTAAAATAAAAACATAGAAATTCATACATTGTTTTGTCAATTAATAAAATAGTACATCTGTTTAACATGAGTCAATGACAATTTAAGAATTTACTAGAAGATTAAATTATTTTCTTTTCAATTCGGGAAAATTCCAAATTTTGAGAATTCGAAACTTTGTTTTATTTGTGAACTAAAATTCTCGAAAATTAGATAAAAAAAAAATAAATGTACACTCGATGGATAGAAAATGGAAGAATCTAAAATAGAAATGAGTTTATTCTGCAGCTTGTTATATTTTTCTTCAATTTTTTTTTAAACTAAACAGATCACTAAAGATTTACACAAAAATTTTGTTTAGACTTCACTTCTTAAAGTAAAAAGTAAAATTTTCTCTTACAAAACAAAATTAGCACTTCGAATATCGAGCGATTTGAGTTTCAAAAGCTTCGAACATTTTGGCATTTTATAAAAATTCGGATTTGTCTTTCTATAATTCGAAAATTAGGTTTGAAGTCATTGGTAATTTACATAATCGAAATATATGGTAGATTTGAGAAAATAGGTATTAATAATTACCTGGTCGTTTCCAAGGAACACGACGTATTTGCTGCCACAGGCACGCAGTGCTTGAGCACCTTCTTCCATGTTAGGGCTGGTGAATTTTATTCCCACGAGAGTTGGAATATGATCATTCTGGGATTCAAGCCACTGTCCCATATGGACTAAAGCATTCAAAAATTGTTTAAATAATAATAATTTACACTACTTCTTCTTAGTTAATTAAAGAGAACATATCAGTAAAAAAGCAAAGAAAAAAGAATTTTCTATTGTATATTAATTATATACAATTATATATACAATTTATATATACAATTATTATATAAATTATATACAATTTATATATACAATTATTATATAAATTACATACAATTATATACACAATTTATATATACAATTATTATATAAATTATATACAATTTATATATACAATAATTATATAAATTATATACAGTTATATATACAATTTATATGTACAATTATTATATAAATTATATACAATTATATACAATAATATCTTTATGATATTAAAATTAGATATTCAAATGCACTTCCTTGATTTTTCAAAAATCATTTTAAATTGTTATATGATAGTATATCATAGTAATCAAAAAGTAAAGAATATTAGCTTTTTGTGTATTAGGAAACTAGTATTCTTTACATAATTCTTTAATTGTTTTAAGATTTCTAGTAAAATCTAATTACTAATTAAGTATAGTTATCATTGTTGAGATAAATAAATGTATAGTTTACTATAACTATTATAATCATAATTGTTAACTTACTGTTAATATTGGTAATACTGTAAAAATTAGATATTTCAATACACTCCCTTGATTTTTCAAAAATCATTTTAAATTGTTATATGATAGTATATCATAGTAATCAAAAAGTAAAGAATATTAGCTTTTTGTGTATTAGGAAACTAGTATTCTTTACATAATTCTTTAATTGTTTTAAGATTTCTAGTAAAATATAGTTACTAATTAAGTATAGTTGTCATTGTAGAGATAAAATATGTATTAAACAGTAATTTACTATAACTCTATTATAACCATAATTGTTAACTTACTGTTAACATGGGTAAAGCTGGGAATGTGGTAATACAAGAGCGGAGTATTCGGAGCTGCCAAGCTAACTAATCTCAAGTAGTCAGTCAGTTGTTCAGTTGTTGTTGGGCTGAAGTATAATTCCGGTAAGCAGAGGATGGAATCAGCCTTGATGCTTTCGGCATGCCTTGCCTTTAAATTAATACATTTTCATCGATAGTAACCAAGATGTTTATGATTAATAAATAAAATTCTCAAACTATAAAGATGAATATTTATTTTAGCAAAACAACAGGAAAGGATACATACGTTAGAGTTCTCATATTAAAATCAACATTATTCGAATATTCCAATATTCGAACGTTCTATTGTCAGAATATTATGGTATATAAACAGTGTTTCATAGTGATATTTAGATACAATGTATCGTGCTTTTCTGTATTAGGTCGAACGAAACCTAATTAAAAGAATTTAGGATTATAAGCATAAGAATTTAGTATTCTAACTATAAGAATTTAGGATTCTAAGCATAAGAATTTAGTATTCTAACTATAAGAATTTAGGATTCTAAGCATAAGAATTTAGTATTCTAACTATAAGAATTTAGGATTCTAAGCATAAGAATTAAGTATTCTAATTATAAGAATTTAGTTCGAATTCTAATCATAAAAATTTAGTATTCTAATCATAAGTAAATTAATCATGAGAATTTAGTAAGAATCCTAATCATAAGAATTTGATAGGAATTCTAATTATAAGAATTTAGTAAGAATTCTAATCATAAGAATTTAAGAATCCTAATTATAAGAATTTAGTATGATTCCTAATCATAAGAATTTGTTAGGAATCCTAATTATAAGAATTTAGTAAGAATTCTAATCATAAGAATTTAAGAATCCTAATCATAAGAATTTGTTAGGAATCCTAATTATAAGAATTTAGTAAGAATTCTAATCATAAGAATTTAAGAATCCTAATTATAAGAATTTAGTATGATTCCTAATCATAAGAATTTGTTAGGAATCCTAATTATAAGAATTTAGTAAGAATTCTAATCATAAGAATTTAAGAATCCTAATCATAAGAATTTGTTAGGAATCCTAATTATAAGAATTTAGTAAGAATTCTAATCATAAGAATTTAAGAATCCTAATCATAAGAATTTGTTAGGAATCCTAATTATAAGAATTTAGTAAGAATTCTAATCATAAGAATGTAAGAATCCTAATTATAAGAATTTAGTATAATTCCTAATCATAAGAATTTGTTAGGAATCCTAACTATAAGAATTTAGTAAGAATTCTAATCATAAGAATTTAAGAATCCTAATTATAAGAATTTAATACGAAACCTATTCATAAAAATTTAGTATTCAGTTCATAAGAATTTAGTGCGATTCCTAATCACAAAAATTTAGTTCTCTAATCTTAAGAATTTAGTAAAAATCCTAATCATAAAAATTTAGTACTCTAATCATAAGAATTTAAGAATTCTAATTATAAGAATTTAGTATGAATCCTAATCATAAAAATTTAGTTCTTTAATCATAAGAATTTAGTACAAATCCTAATCATAAAAATTTAGTATTCTAATCATAAGAATTTAGGAATCCTAATCATAAAAATTTAGTATGAGTCCTATTTATAAAAATTTAGTATTGAGTTCATAAGAATTTAGCACGAATCTTAATCATAAAAATTTAATATCCTGATCAGAAGAATTTAATTTTCTAATTATAAGAATTTATTATTCTAAAATTCTAATAACAGAATCTAGAAGCTAACAGTGTACAATATCGCAATAGCAATTAAACGAAAGCTCACATATATCTTTGATAAATAAGTCAAAATACAAAATATAATAATTAACACTCTAATTGAAAACGATTAATTAGTTCATCATTAGAAAATACTTGTCCAGTGTGTATAACAAGTTAACTCGTAATGTATCACTATACGTTGCAAATTTTAACATAATTTTATCACGAATATGAGATTATTCTATTTATTCTTCGTTAATTTCTAATATTTATTTATTTAATAACTTTAATAATTATAATTTACTCTATAATAGTACGCATTTATACTACTTACGAGTTCAAGAACATCAGGAAGAGATGCACCTCCTACTTGAACCATCAGGTGTTGCTTTGTTGTTCTCGTGGCAGTTGCCCAAGCTTCAGCAACTAATTTTCTTTCACTCACAGACATGGATGGACCTTCTCCACTTGTTCCATTCACTGTTAATAGTAAATTACATTGCGTACAAATTACTCACAAATTATTTATTTCAGTGGTTTACTGCCTGTACTTCGAATTAAGAAATTCTTTATCAATGTTATAATAAACAATGTTAGAATTTAAATAATAATAATAACTTTAATAGTTTATTTCTACGTGTAACATACTTTTTAATGCAAAAATCGTCGATGTTCTTGATTATTCTATATTCTATATTATTCTATATTATTAGATATTAATAATTAGGATTTAAACTTTCCATACTAACTAACAATAAATTATTTTTAATTATTGTAAATTAATACTCTGTATTACCTTTTAATCTATTAGTTAAATTTAATTGCAACTTAAATTTATATAATAACGCATGTTTTTCAATTTCACTGAACATTCATAGATAATATTTCTTCATTTGAATTTAAAATTCATAGCTCTCACTGAACTTCAATGTATTTTAAAATATAATTTCTTTTTATTTTAATTTGAAGTTTTTACTTCTCAGTGAGAATTGGATGTTGAAGAAAGAAAATAGATACGAGAAAATACAAAATATTATTTAAAAATAGAAATTCGTTTAAATTTATTTACTCTGATACTATTTAATAATAATCAATTACCAAAAAGAAAAAAAAATGCTGAAGAAAATTTTACAAAAACGTAAAAATATGAGTAGTCTATTAAAAATGAAAATGAAAATTTGACTTCATATTTGACCAAATATTTGACATTTCCGAATATTTTTTATGATAAATGAAATATTTCAATTAAATAAATTTCTTTGACATGTAATTTTTACTTACCAAGAACACCAGTGACTTTCCTCTTTACCAATAAATCCGCATATTGCGGAATCATTGACAAATTCAGCGTTCTGGTGCTAAATAAGCAAACAGACGATATTACGATTTAAATCGAAACTATTAAATCTTCCACATATGGTTATAAATATACAATTTGTTTTTATTTTATAATTTTTAGAAAATACCTACTTCTAACAATTTATATTTATTTACTTCTAATAATCTAATCTCTCTATTCAAATATAGATACTTTTTCCTAAATTTATTTTTTCTTTAAACTAATAACGAGCATTTTTCACACACAAACCAAAATGAATTTTACATGTAAAAAAATACGTGCATAAATATTTAAGCATTTCGCGTAATTAATTATAGAATCATGCTCAACTGATCACTTTAACTTCATTAGGTATAAAACATTACTTGAAAGAATTATAAAGAATGAACATTAATGACTTCATATAAATAATTACAATATAATGCACATAAGTGAAATTAAACATGATTCTATGTTATGAAAAATTAATATGCACGTTTCTAACAAGTGATTAGGTATTAAATATCAAATAAAAGAATTATGAATGAATATTAACGATTTCCTGTATTTAATTGCAATATAGTGCACATAATTGAAAATAGAGATAATTCTAAGTTAAAAAAAATATCTGGTCTAAGTGATTAGGTACTTAGTTATGTTTCTCACAACGAAGGAATTGGGGAAATTACCTGTCATTGTTAAATGGTGTCAGCACTGGGGCTATAAGTCCCCTAAACGTGAATGATACTTTCTGTAATTAAAAATAAGCAAATAAACAAATTTATTACTTAAAATGTCGTTATAGTGATTTATAGAACACAAAGAATTTTTTAACTGTATTTCTAAATAAATTTCTTATTTAAACCTAGATCTGGATCTGAATTTTTTAAAATTTAATTCTAGTTATACCTTATTCGTATTTAATTTCATTTAATATTATAGTAATTTTTCTATATTTTTGTTAAGTATTATACTTTATAAACTTGACACAAATTTAACCAATTCATTTTTTAATTTTTATTCCATTAGAAAGACACAAATATAGAATTTTAAACACATTTGACATAAGAATATTTAAATACGTTGAACGTAATAATAATAATTAAAATACATTTTTTGATTCATAGAATCAACATTTCTTAAAATAAATTTTACTTTATAAAATAAGAAATATGACTCAAAATGAAGTTATATCTTCAAAAATGAAAATGAAATTATTCACAGACATATGTTGATAAGCAAATGACATACGTTTATGAAATGAATCTTATTTTCTGACAGAATTCCATTTACTTCCAATACAAATAATTTTCTTGTATTAAATAAGAATTAGTAATAATGCAATTTCAATGAAAACTAATTAAAGATTATGATTTTCCATTTCAAAGTAAAAACTTATTTTATTATAACTGAAATCTTAGCATGATATGTATTGTGAGAATTATGTAATACTTTATAAACTATTCCAAAGTAAACTGTCTCTATGCCATTTACATTACACTGTCAATTATGACAATTTACATGTAATTAGAATATTATTTAATTACGTTCAATTTTTAAATTATTATTTTATATTCGTTGTTAAAATTCTGGAATTCCAAGTTTCGATCCTTTCAAATGTCATAGCAAATTTAATATTATATTATAAAAGTTAATACTATATAAAAATGTCACATATTACCATAATTAAAACACTTCGAACTGTATTAAAGTATTGCGAAATAAATAAATTTCAGTTATGTTCGATTTAAATGTACACGTAAAAATTCGTAAAAATTCTTAAAAATTCTTGAAAATTGTTTTTAACAATTAATGTAACAACGATCGATGTACATGTGCATACGTACCGGCATTTTGGAGCACGAGGTGAACAAGCGGAGCACAATTGGCAAACTGTGTAGAACCAAACGTCGACGAATATTTTAACCATAGCTCAGATAAGATTGTCTCAGTTTAGTATCAAATATCACGTGTCACATGTTTACTGATATTATGAACTTTTTGTTTGTATTACTAATAATACATGTGTAGGATTGCTGTATATTTTCATATTACTTTATTTTCATTTCATATACTTGTGTACGACGTACGTAATGTATTTGAATTACTATAGTTATATCGAGTATGTACAAGTATCTTTATCAGGGGGATTAACGAGGATTTAAGAGATTTATTTTGAGTAGATTTATGCAGTAAGTATATTATGTCATATGTTCTTGTTTATTACTTATTATTACTTATAATATCGATACTTTATTACTTTAATTTTTATTAATATTTAAGACATCGACATAATCTTTTTATATTAATAATGATATTTTAAAATTATTTATGACAAGCCTTATAGTTATTTATACAAATATAATTAAACAATAATTGTTTAATTTATAC